CGGCCGAACCGGGATCATATATATCCATAACGCTCCTCTACTTTAAACGTTCCCGCCGAACACCCCCAAAAAATCTCGAACCTTCAAGTGCCGTGGTTTGACCTTAGCCTTACCCTTTTTGAACATACTTCTTTGCAGGTGCCTTCATAAAAAGCCGCAGCCTGAAGTGCATAAATGTTATAAGAACCTTATCAACGACATGTAGCTTCTGGTAGGGTACGGTGGCTACAATCACTAACGTCATTGAAATGCGCCGTAAACTTGCGCCCTGAACTGCAAACTCAGGTAGTAGACACACCTCATCCCATCACATCTCGGCAGCACGGACACAAAGAGAAGGACCCAAGCCCAAACCTGCCGTGATCCCTCACCGTGGTACTAAGCTGGGGGCGCAAGCTCAGAGAAAGAGCAACTTGCCGGTCAACACACATGCACACACACACACAGTGCCGGCAGACCAGGGGATGTGGCACAACATTACAAGCCCCAACAACCGTCTGAGTTTGAACCTTCCAAAACCCTCCAAACCCGGTGAAGATCTGAGTCTTCATACGGGTTTCTTCATAGGAATAGGGGAGCCCACACACTGTCAGAGTTCAGTGTGCTTCAGATTTCGGTTCAAGGACATTGCATTCAAGGACATTGCATATAGGGGGATTTAAGATTTCAGACGCTTGCAAGCCCTTGTAGAAACCCGATAGTAACCCACGCAGCACAGCACTGTATGGTAACCCTTACAGTCCTTTGCACCCAACTCGAACAACCATGAACCCAAACTAAGCCACTATGAGACTTAGAGTCACCTGCTAATGCAAAACGACAACGACAAATTAGACTACAGGCTATAGTAATGTAGTAACTATAGTGACTATACCGACTACAGTGACCATTCATTGCAGCACCAAGAAAAGGTACATCTGACTTTACTTACTATGCGCACCGATTCGCCAAGTTCACCTTCAAAGAACTCCAGCAAACAAACACCGAAAGTCCGTATGTAAACCCGATGAAGCCTCTAGCAGCTAGCAAACTCTTGAGGCCAAGCAGCGTGACTGAATAGAAAATTGACGGAACCTCCAGGTTCTGGATGATGACCTGGTACCATCGCCACTGCATGCTGATTTATGACTATATTGCGATGTTGCTCTTACAACTTGTAGCTTTACTAGGGGCCTTGTTGTTGCTTACCTCTTCCACGAGTACATTGGAGTCTGGTCTCATCGGCCTCCTACCGGCTGCTTCACTGGGTCCATGTTGGGAGCTTTCGTGCACAGGATCCTGTTTGGATATCTGGAGTTCAAGAATCTCAACCCGGGACCCTGCTTGGACCGCGCATCACAAAAACCTAACACGAAGAAAAGACCACGAGCGCCACCCCTCAAACCAAAAAAGCCAACTTCAACAAGGACCCTTACTCATGAAAACTTCCCCTCCAGAACCCTTATCGTAACTGCTACTGGGAGTTTTTGAATACCTGATGAGACGCTTTACGAGTCTGAGTTATCGCTATTTCTGGGGCCCGGCGTTGTCGTCCTCGCAGGAGATAAGCCAAAGGTCATCTCTTCCACCGATGCTGGCCCTCGGGTCAGACTTTCGGAGCATAAGGCATGGGACAATAATTGTGTACAAGAACTCTCCAAACCTTCAACCCTGCTTTCGAACCCCCCCCCATACCAACCAAAGCTCTCGATGGGCTCCTTAGTCCCTTAGCTGGATAATCACGGGAGAACCCTTTATGATTTCGGGCTCCATGAACTCTGCGATTCTCTGTAGTGGGGCTTCGGCGCTGTGCGGGCTCGTCTGTTTGCGTGCTTTGGGTTTGGGGCGTGAGGTTTATTTATGGCTTGCCTGTACGACGGGGCACGTGCTGGGCCTTCCCGCCAGCCGGGAGCGATACCGGGCAACATAAGCGATCCCCAAACCCTGAAGCCGAAACCAATACATGGCGTTCAAAGGAGGCAAGCCCATAGACAAAACGAAGAAACGAAAGAAGATGATGAACTCTGTGAGGAACGGGGCACAGTCTCCAGCACCCACGTATGGAGACCGGGGGAGGGGAAAGGACAGGATCCTAAGTCTTGAAATACAAGCACAAGGGCGACAAGGCGGAACTTGTTTCATCTCCCAAAACTGCGACTGATACAGGCCCTTTCATGTTTAGAATACGGTTATGGGGCACATCATACTATAAGTATAAGCAGGAACCCTACAAGGAATAATGCTTCTAGTTACTACGGCCCATTATACTATAGCTATACCAAAACATAACCTTAGGTAACTTAGGAGTATGTCGAGGCCGCCTTCGCACAGTGAGGTCAGCGCTGGCCTGCCGAGGCTTTGTTGGTGCTTTGGGCTCTGGGCTTATGGGGGGGGGGTTAAGGCTTTGTGGGATCAGGGTTTAGGGCTGACAGCTCATTTTGTTTGAAATCCTCTAGGGCTTCGGGTTCAGGGTTGAGGGTTTCAGGTATAAGGCGTTGGTCTGAGGGCCCAAATCAGAGGGCGTTTCTGTTGAAGCTTCAGGGCCCTGCTCCAGGGCTTTTGTGACTTAGGCTTCAACTTCCAGGGTCCACAGGGTCCCGTGTCAACCCTGTGATGAACGTCAGCCCTGAACCCTGGGCCCTTACCGCGACCGAGCTCGACCAAACCTACAGCATGAGCCATCTGCGGTTTAAGTCTTAGGGTTTAGGTGCAAAACCCGACCCTTAGCCCCGAACCCTCGAGCCTGTAGAAGTGGCTGCCGTGTGACATTGACGGCGAAGTTTGCTTAGACCGGAGAGCACTCTCGAGCATGTCACACAGGAGGAGGAGGCTTTGGGGGCCTGTGCCTGTTCTGGCTTCGGGGTTAGGGTAAAGAGTTTTGGGTCTAGGATTTGCGGTTCAGGGTTCAGGGTTTGGGACCATGAACAAAACTAACACTTTTCGACGAGATGTCTACATCGTGCCAGTGTCAGTGTTCCTCTGTCAGGCCATTTACCCATCGATGGTGACGCTTAATTTAAAGCCATGCAGAGGTTCAGAGACTTGGTTTTCCATAGCTAGCAACAGCTAGTACAACAGCTTTTTGATTTTGCTTCGGCTCACGCTTGCTGCGCTGGCCCAAACCCTAAAATCACCTGGTCCCTTGAGGCTCAAACAAGAAGGGGCACTACGGGCCTAGACCCCTCAAAATATTCGGATTGGCCGCATTCAACGGCACCGGGTGGGAGGCGGAGGGAAAAGAAAGCCAATCGTCGCCTAGATTGACAGCTCCTAGAAGTTTTGATCTAGATTCTAAATCCGAATCCAACGCCCGGCAATGGAGTTTCTGGCCAAGAGTCTGAGGTCCGGGGCATCGCCAGCCTGCGAGAGCTTTCAAATTTAGGGATGGGAGTGTACAGATGCACACATTCACGGACATACTTTCAAACAGCCGCCACAACGAAGACTCTTGTTCGGCCGGGGAAACCTTTTATGCCTAATAAACCCCGATGTGGCCTTGAACAGCTCCCATCTTCACGACCCAGATTTGAGCAACAACTCCGACATAGCATCCGTGTCATTCTTGTGCATGGGTCGGGTTCGAGGTCAACTACACTTCTCTGGCTTAGGACCAGGTCATGTCGGAAAGGCGAAGAATCAAGATAGCAATCACAACTAGATAAGGTTTTTTGCCATCAACCACACCACCACCAATAACAACAAGACCACCACCAGCACCACCACCACGACAAAGGAAAGAAGACTAACAGTAACAAGAACCGGGACAGCAACCGCAAAAACAAAAAGCAGCACAAAGACGGCACAACATGGCAAGCAGCAGACCCGGGAAAGACAATGCATGCAGACCTTTTCTCGGTGCTTGTGTCCGCATGATTATGTGATTTTGTCAACAGGTATGTATGTAAACGAACTGGTAGAGGGATATATATGGTAGGGTGAAAAGATACAGGCAAATAGTTGCATGAAGGCACCCATATAATACCCAGTAACACAGACAATCGAATGGAACTGCGCACTTAAAAAGCCTTAATGTGCTAGGGCAAACAAGGACAAGGCTAGGAGACCTCCTAAACCCTAAATCCCAATTCGTTAAAAAGCCCAAAACCTTAGCCCCAAATCCTCATGGCAACCCTTGTACAACCCTTATAATCCAAAGCTTACAGTCATTGAGCCCTTCCAAGCCCCAACAGCCCTTGTAGACCCTCATACAACACTTACAAAACTCTAAGAGAAAAACATTCTCTGTAGAACCCGGCCAACAACGCATAAACAACCCTACAAAGCTCTCCTGGAACCCTTACCCCTTATGGAACCCTTCAACCAACTCTTACGTCACCCTCTGAGGAGAAGCGAAACCAAGCCGGGGCTCAATGAGGAAGCCGGGTAGGTTTTCCAAACCTGCCGGCATAGCAGTTACAGCAGGTTTCTTTTTGAGGGCTTCATGTAAGCACCAGGATAGTTAGAGTAGGGGTTTTAGGGTATCTTGGTAATTGGTTATTAGAGCCTAGCTATATCGTTACATTTGTGTTTAGGGGCTGGGCACGGCCCAAGATACGGGCGTGAAGAATCAGTGTAGGGCTTGGGAGCGTTTTAATGTATAGTTTTAAGAAGGAAAGTATATAAGGGGACGCCATTAGTGACTATTCGGACCTCTGTATTCGGGCTGGTTTTCCAGCTGAAGAGTCGATTCTGGAAATGTGCTCCAGGACCGGCGGATACAACACCGAAGGCTAAACCCCCAGCCTCAAGCCGTAAACCCGTACGAGCACCGGAATTTAAGAATCAGACAAGGAGGCGAATGATTTCACCTATATCATATTGAATTAGATTGATAGTATACTAGTAGTACTATGACTTTTTGGTAATATACCATATCATATCATGTCATATCATATCATATCATATCATCACGAATCATATCATCACGAATCATATCATATCATATCATATCATATCAGATCATATCATACCACACCATACGTCTTGGATGCTCAGACTGGGAGTTGGGTGCTATGCGAACAACGAGCGGAGAATAGAGCTTTGTTACGTGATCCAAGAAGCGAGAGTGCAGGGTTTGCGCTTGAGGGTCTACAAGTCAAAACCAGAAGGCCAGCAACGTGCAGATTAGAGATCAGAATCGGGATCCTCCGTTTGTCGGCCCAAAACGAAGCAAACCATTCAGCCCGACCCTTCGTACCGGCCCAACCTCCTTGAGCACGGACGGTGGTGTCATCAAAAGCAACGAACACGAAGTTGGCGCTGGTTTGAGGAATTGAACCTAGGCTCTGCTATGGGTGCGAAGTTCAACGTCTGCGGCTCTCGGGGGACGGGGATCCTCATGATCGAGATACCGGTGTTTTTTGGAGTGCATGTATTTAAGAGATAACTCCGCGGAGCTGGGGCCAGAGACATTGTGGACAATGATGCATTTATTCATAAGCCATTGATTCTCTGCAACTCGCTCCAACGACCGACAACTAACTGCGCACGGCTTCGCTTTGCGAGCCCGGCGAGGGCAATGAATCTGAGTCTGAGTCGATCGTCGGTCGTCGGTCGTCGTTTCTCCGCTTAAACTCTCCAGCAGATTTAGCGTCTCCCCGGAGAAACAGACCCAGTCCTGCGCAGCTCCGCAACTAAGCGTTCAAGAGAGAGCCAGAGGCTAACTTCTCGTTCAAGCGTTCCCGCAGAAGTGTCAGTTTCTCCTCAGACCAACTGGTAGTAACCTGTAGTGCCACTTTTTTTGAACCAATCCATGGGCGTTATCTTCCGTCGAGGCGCTCGGACTGAAACCTCCGGACACCGACGTGAACTGCGAGCCGAGGTAGCAGAAGGATCCGGGGTCTGAGAGGCATGTCAAGGCTTCAGGAGCTTTTCGAGTCTGCATGCTGGGTTTACGGATTTAGGATCGGATGCATTTTGGGTTTAGGGATTTAATGGGATTTAATGCTTTAAGAGCATGTCTGTAGGGGACGGCATCTCCGTTTGGGGCAAAGCCCCCCAGAGGAAGAGGATCCTAACTTAAAACAAACACTCAGCACACTGAAGGACTTCCGGCTCCGGGAGCTGGTGGCTCTGTCTTTGATTGTTTTTGGGCGTTTTTGGGAGAAGGGTTTTGTACGGGTTCCAACGAGGTTCACAAGGGTTTGACAAAGCTTTCCGGGTTGAGATTTGGCTCAGGGTTGAGGGCTTCAAGGTTAAGGGGTTGCTTCTTGAGAATTGAAGCTTCAGAAACACGCGTAGAAGGAAATCCGACAGCCTGAACATGCCACCAAAACCCCCAATGCCTATAAAACTCTACACTGCTTGGGGGGCCCGCAGTTCGTGCTGGCTCTTGGTCAGGGCTAAACGCTCAGGAGGCGTAGTTCACGGCAGGTGCCACTCAAGGCGCCACTGGTTCGGGGGTTTCAGATTCCAGGCATGCTGTGTTGCTCACTCCGGCTACGAAACCTTCAGGATCGGTGCGACAAGCTCGAGAGCATCGTGAAGAACAGTTATAACGGTTCTCAGAGTTGGGAAAGCACAAAAGCGCCCAGTGCACAGAAGCTCGTGGAAGACGACATGCAAGGGGCCTCCATTGGTGGGGCACGTCAGGCGAACCAGGTAGCCTGGAGTTGCGGAATGAAGGTTGGGGGTCGCCGACAGCTAAAAAAAAAACTACCATCGAAGACACGCTGAACCCTGAGACCTTGGAAAGCCCGTCACCGTCAAAGCTACTCCAGCACTGCACTGACACCCAAAACCCTAGACTCAAGCCGGAACGCCGAAACCCAATGAAATCAAATCTGAGACACGTACGCACTATCAGTGCGGGAATTGCTTATCGGGGATAGATGCGCAAATCTACAGTTCTACTCCTGGTCCTGTGGATCACGAACAACTTACAACAATCGGGGTTAACGCTGCCAACCTTACATTCTCCAGATATCAGAGAACTGACCCATCACATCAACTCAAATCGGAAGATTCTGTTCCACATTACGCCGGTTACGGTCGGGCTTAGGGTTCTCAAGTTTAGAAGTGGACGGGGCTGTACAATATCCTGTCTACGGAGCGGGCAAGACGTCATAGGTAGACACCACACCGAAGTCGTGGATAAAAACGACACCCACAAAGGCGAAACCCTTAATCCCCCAAGCTCGTCAAAACCCCCAAACTCGTCAAAACCTAATCTTGCAGGCACAAACGCGGAACCCACTCACCCGCAAGACCACTCCCAAGACCCAAGATGTGTCTCAACTGCAATGTGACACAATACACCGATTGCCCTGCTTATTGAAGAAGTTGATGAACGCACCCGAGAGTGGTGCAGCAGGACATGAAAAACAACATCAAAGGTCTTACACTCACAGGCTCGTTGACTTCCTGTGGAGCTAGACTACAAATTGCACGTGTTAGAAAAAATGCGAATCACCCTGGTTTGTATCCACTGAGCCAAATCCTGAAGCATCAAACCGTAGACCCAAAGCTCCGAGTGGCTTGGTGTCCCTTCCAGCTCGCAATAGATCCTTACCAGTGCGGCTGGTTGGATTCAGGGTTGGTTTAGGGTCTGGGTGGTTCCTTCACGATTGAACCCTGAACGTCCTAAACTTTCAACCGTGGGTTTGCACTTGTGCAGAGAACCAAGCACCTACGAAGCGACATCCCACAGTACCTGCATGCGAAATCGATCCAACCTGTATGTACGCACGTATGTAGCCATGTGCAGTATTGACTTGCCATGTCATGTCATATCAAGTCCTGTCCTGTCATGTCACGCCATGTCATGTCATGGCCTTTCAAAAACGCATGTTCAGGTTCTCTAGGTTTACACTACTGCAGGCAAACCAGACAGAAGCAGTGCAGCGCTCACTTCTTTTTCCCGCAGAGGTTGCTGTGTCTGTGCTATGCGATGCGCGCAGTGAGAAGTAAGCAAAGCAGTGCGTGCTGAGCAAGTACCCCTCAAGGGTGTGGAGGGTGGGTGAGAAAAATTCTACGCAGCAGGGCTGCGAGCCCTGCATGTGTAGTGTTTGCTAGGTTCCAGCCACGCATTGCCGTGCGGTGCAAAGTTGTGCTTTCGTGAGAACCTAAGAAAACACTGCTGACTAAAAGACAAACGCACAGCGAGCGTTAATGTTAATGTTATTGCTACTGCTAATGTCAATGTTCATGTCATGCTAATATATGCTAATATCAATGTGCGTGTCATGGCATATGGGTGTGTTGATCTTGATGCTACTGCTAATGCTAGCGGTAATGTTGTCTGTGGTTTGCCGTTCATGTTTTTATTTTTGCCAAAGTTAATGCTCATGCTGTGCTACGTTCACTCTCGAGGTCGCCACGGCGCTGAATGGATGACGAAGCCTTACCCAAATGTCGCGCTTCGCCTCTACGGGCTCCGCCCAGTCCGCCTCTGTTTTCCCTGTCGACGGCACCCCGCCAATGCTGCTGCTAACGGTCAGCCCGCTTGGTTCCATCTTAAGACAGAGTGGAACCCTTCCTACAGGTAGCTTCTGCACCTCCGATGCCTCGGTAAGTGCCCACCATGGGTGAACCACCCATGGCTCGGGAAGGGGTGAATGGGCTTGAGGCCTTACGCTAGAAGCCGCAGCAGAAGCAGAAGCACTAGCTAGGCTTTTCTTGTCTTATACAGCATCTACACTGTCAGACAACAAACGCAACAACTCCGGATAACTAATCTGCTCAACAAAAGTCAGATGCCTATTCATTGTCTTCACAAAGTGCTGGATGACATTTGATGACCTCACCTGCCTCAAACTGGGCCGAGGGAACATCCTGCAAGACGCTTCGCGTCAAGTCGGCCTGGGCCTTGAGCGGCGGAAGGGCTTTAGTACCCTTTCGAAAAGGAAGACATGAAGGGTATTGAAGGGTGCCACTCACAGCTCCCAGGAGCTGCAGGTGCGCGACGGGCGCACGATAGGTGCACGGTAAGTGCACGACAGGTGCACGACAAGGACGACGGCGCGACGGCCGGGCAGAGCGCGGCGGCGGGTGCACGACAGGTGCACGACAGGTGCACAATAGGTGCACGATAGGTGCACGATAGGTGCACGACAGGTGCACGACAGGTGCACAACAGGTGCACGATAAGGACTACGGCGACGCCGCGCCGACACGGCCCTAAGCCGGATTCTGAGAGCTGCCACTCGCCTGTTCTGTCGGACTTTCGATTGCGAGCAAATATTCGCGGCCAGAGAGCCGATGATCGTTGCATCCTAGGTCTGTCAGCCTCATCGATGTTGCAGCAGGTTTGGGTCCGAAGCCTACGCTTGACGATCTTTCAAAACTCCATCAGCTCGCTCTACGTCGATCTGTGGTCGAGCGCAAACACGTCTGCACAAAAAAGAGCTGGGATAATGTCTACAGACTCCTGCTCTTCGCGCATTGGGAGCACATGTCCATCCTATATGAGCAAGGGCTCGACACAAGCCACACCTGGCCAGCCTACCACAGTGCACATCCGTGGCAGGCACCTTTGCTCTGTGGATTCTCTTGGACAGTTGCGAGGAGCTCATGTGCGGGGACGTCGTGTGGATGCAAGTGACCGTGCTTTGATGTGCGGGCTCACTGCGGCCAAGGCGCAAATGATCCTGCCTCGGGTTTCTCACCGCTGCTCTTGGCAGTGGCCAAGGAGCATACCGTAGAAGTGGCTGTTCTTCTGGCGCCTATGGCGGATCCGCTGCGTGAAAAGCGCCAAGGAAGCATGGCTGGCACACCTTGATGGAAGTCGTGGGAGGTGCATCGCGCCATGCAGGCTAGCGGATGTATGGGGGGAGTTTCTTTCCCCGCTGCTCGGAGCGGTGCAACGAAATTGTGATGTTTTCGATTATCTACTTAGGGCCAGGGAGGTGGGTACGACACTCCTGGCATCAAGCCGCTTATTCGGCATGGTCTTTTCCCGGGATGCGAGCAGCCTTGCCCTGCCGGGCTTCCTGCTGGCAGCTGCCGCGTCGTCTACAGATGCGGATCGCAGTAGCTGGGCGAGATATCTCCCGCTGCTCTTGCTAGCTGAAAAAAACTGGTCGGCTATACCTGTTTTGCAGTTGGCATGCCTAATGTCTTTTCCGTGTGTACCTGGGCTGTAGCTCTTAGACTAAACTGGAACCCGAGGGTGCGACAGCACAGAACATACGAGGAAAACCACGTTCCAGATGCTCTGCAAATCTTGGTAGGGGGGCGGTACTCCGGGGTGCTGCCTTCTCTGGCCCGTTGACTCATGTAAGAGTGTTTCTCGTCTGCCGTGATTTTTTCTCGCCTGATGCCCCTGGCTCACAGGCACAGGCCACCGAAGCTATTCTGGCCCTTCAGGTCGGCCTACACGGCGGACCAAACGTCGCCGCCATTACCTGGGCAGTAAAGACCCTGCGCTGCAAACCGTCGGCCGAACCTTGACTACGTTCCGGTGCTGATAGCACGACCAGGTTTCGTTACAGGCCCTGCCACTGCCACTGCTGATGCTAATGCTTCGTAGGAATGGCAGCCTTATTGTTGACGTTAATGCTTCATGCTAGTGTGCGTGGTAGTGTAACGCACGTGTCTATGTATGTATCTAGATATATATGTATGCATGTATATGTAAAAAGTGTACGTGTCCATGTGTGTGTGTGTGTATGTGCCCCTGTGTGTATGCATGTGTTTGTGTCTGTATGCATGCATGCATGCATGCATACATGCGTTGGTGTATGTATGCATCCATGCATGGGTGTATGTATGTACGTATGCATGCATGTATGTATGATGCATGCAGGTGTGCGTCTGTGGCAGGTGTGTAGGTGTGTAGGTGTGCAGTCGTGTAGGTGTGTAGGTGTGTAGGTGTGTAGGTGTGTAGATTGGTAGGTGTGTAGGTGTGTAGCTGTGCAGGTGTACCAGTGTGTAGGTGGGAAGTTGCTTACAGTGCATGTGCAGGTGTTTTTGCACAAGCATACATACATATGTACATACATACATACATACATACATACAAACATACATACAAACATACATACATACATACATACATACATACACGTGTATGTGTATATACATACACATGTATACAAGCATACACCCACATGCATATTTAATATACATGTGTGTGTATGTTGTATGTATGTTTGTTTGTTTGTATGTGTATGAATATTCGTGTATGTATGTATGTATATATATGGGTAATGTTATATCCCCCCACCCCTGCATTTCGTGATCTCACACCACAAGTCACACATTCACTATGTCGTCATTCATGTCCTTCATGTGGTCAAGCCAGTTCACCATTTCACCAATTGGTTTGGCCCTAACCCATTCCACCATTTCACCATTTCACCAGGTAGCTGGGCCCGAACCCATAAACCATTTCACCA